AAGAGCGTGAGGAGTCCTGCCCTAAGGAGGAAGGAGCGGCAGAGGCAACGTGTGATGAACTGACCGCAACCCCCATTCCCCATCCACCTGCACCGCTCAGGGGGAGGAGGTAGAGAAAACTGGAAGTAAAGTTAAGCCCGGGAAGAAGGGAGGGGTGGAGAAAAGGTGTTTTAAGATTTAGTTTTTATTTCTCATTAATCTGATTTGATTGGTAATAAATTAAATTAATTTTTTTCTTAAGTCGAGCCTGTTTTGCCGGTGATGGTAATTGCCGAGTACTCTCTCCCTGTCCTTATCTCAACCCACAAGCCTTTCATTATGATATTTTCTCTCCCCTGTCCAGCTGAGGGGGAGGAGTGACAGGGCAGCTTTGGTGGGCACCTGGTGTCCAGCCAGGATCAACTCACCACAATTCCTTAAATACCAAAGACTTGCAAATAGTTATTTTCTATGTATATTCTGACACAAATTTGGAGTAAGATTGCACCTCCACTACCTGAATTTTCAGTCTAAATAGCTTTCATTTTACAGAACTGTTCCTGCAAAACCTCTCTCAAAATAATTCTCGGAAGAATAACATTTTCAAAATTTGTAATCCAAAAATAATGCAGGAACTCTACTTGAATCTGGCTGTTAAGCAATATAATAGCTAGCTTTAATTTTGTTTTTCGGAAGAAACTTATTAAAAGAATAAACAACCAACAGTTAGAAGTAATTTATTTTCTCACTGTCTTTCTATTTTCGTTATCTATAGTGCCAATCCATAAATAAGACTGTATGCGCAGGGGAGCAGAGCTGTAAATACCGATTTTTAAAAGTTATTTTCCTTTCCTGCATAGGGCTTTCCGTGTCATGCTGCAAGCTCTCAACAGTAAATGGAAACCCAGGCTACTTTAGAAGTTTGCATTTTTCAGTCCTTAGAAAAGAACTTCTGTCTCCAGAACTTCAATAAATTGCTATCTGAAATGCATCAGAAGTGCTTTCAGTTCAAATTTCCTACAAAAGGGTTTCAAGCCTTTTCCTAAGTAAACCAGTTGCTTGGGAATACATCTTTTGTACACATCACTACATAAAACATCATTATTTAGTTAGTAGCACATCTAAGAGAACAATCAGCTGTCGGCAATAATATTACCTTTTTCTATAAGATGTATCAGAAGAGACAAGAGGAAGTAAATGCCATTTGTTTCCATAAGAGCGTTCTTTTTATAAATGGTTTGAGAATTGTCACAACACGGTCATTTTACTTTTTGAAAGGCTTTAAAGAGACCAATTGAGGAATTTATCTCCTTGCTCCCTGAACCAAGAGAAGAGAGCATCCTGTTCCGCTGGGTGGCTGAGAAGGGAAGAGCAAGCTGTTACAGTATCATTTCAGTGCTCATCTATGCTGGCCTTTCCCTCGGGATAAAACCAAGTTCTTCTCCCTAAGGACTTGAGCATAAACTCAGTGATGGTTTCTTCTTCATGCTAAAATGCTTAATTCAAACATCATTTCTCTTCACTGGGAAAGCCTAGAAAAGCTTCAAGCATGGTGTTTGAAGCTACAATTTTAGCATCTTAAAATTCTGCTACTATCTGCTGGGAGGAATTTTGGAGGAAAGAAGGTAGATTTATCTCTGATTTTTTTGACAGCAGATCCTTGTCTTTGTAGTTAAAGCATCTCTTTCATAGACAGCCTTCATACTCATTGGAAGAGTACTGCCAAAGGAATACAGGGAAGTGGTTGAATGCCAAGCCACAAGAAGTAAGTTTCAGTAAACATTTCAGGAATATAATTTATGAATAAACCAAACCACTTACTTGGCAATTAACAAAACAACTCCACAACTTTTCTCAATTATCTCTCAAAAAATATTTTTTTGTTTTCCTTCTGTATGACAGTATTAAGTTCTCCAGAACAGTTAAGTTTTTAGAGCAATGTATGCATTTGATATCAAAGCACAGAAAAAATAGGATGTATTTCAGTGTGCTGATTATGCTAATCTGTAGAAAACAGCACAAATTCAGAGAACTGAAAATCATGTAAAGATGCTGCACACAAATGAAAAGATGTCCTAAAATATTCCTGTGAAAATAGTATTTTAGTTTTCACTCTTAATTTTGTTTGTAAAAAGACAAAGCACTTTTTGGAAATTTTTTCAACACCTCTTTGACTGATATACCAACATGGAGACTGTACTAAACAGTCACTTAGGGATAATTCACAAATATTAAAGATCCCTTTTTAAAAGCAAGTTGGCTTCCTCATAATCCAGCTGCCCCCGCAGCAAAGCGGGAGGCTCTGCTCCAATCTTTTGCATCTCTTCCTCTGAAAAGTTTGTCACACTGCAATTCTCATCATTTTTCCTATTATTTCTTCTGATTTGCAGCATTAAAAAAAATCATAGTTTTAGTTTCAGACTATGTTTGCTCTTTTTGAAAGTCCCCAGCACATTCAGAACATTCCATGCCTGGCAATAAATTAACTTCTACCGTACTTGATTTGAATATATATGTGCACATTAAGAACTACGTCAGGAAGGTGATAGTGGCAAGTGCTCCTCCTTCTGGATATATGATGAGCAAAAACCACTAGTCGATCAGTATAAACCGTCATTATTGCCAAGAGGCAATCGTGATACCCTGTTTCTTCCTTCTGTCCTCCCAAGTACAACAAGCATTTGCAGCTGCAGCTGAGTGGAGGAGGACACAAAGAGCAGGATGTGCAGCCATGGACAAGCCGCTTCTTCTGCAGAGATGCTGACTGAAACTGCTACACACTGCTTGCTACCTTTCCTGGCTGATGCAAATCAGGAAGACTTGCAGGTAGACTCCTATCCATATTCAAGCCAGTAAATATGTCTAAATTTCTGTGTTCCCATGGGAAATCCTCTTATTTCTTAAATGTTTTCCCAGACTGTTTTGGAGAACGTGTCCCATTCCTTGCTATGGAAGGGCCCCTCTAATATTAGTTGTCCCAGCCCCCCCCCAGAACAAGTGTGTTCATTCTTCCTGCTGAGCAGATCCCAATAAAAATCACGTGGTTGCTTTGTAGACAGTCTTTCTTTAGATAAAGCTTTTACTTTTCTTCCTGACTTATGCTTAACACACTGAAAAAATTTCTTTTTATTCTTCCAGTGAGCTGCATTATAAGCAGTTATTAAAATGTTTTATAATACAGAATTGCATGTGGGCTACATCAATGGCACTCAAAACAAGATCTGTAGGCTGACTGGCAGATAATGAACTATCGGTTTTCAGAGTAGCTGTTGGCAGTCCTAGAAAGGACCAAGCTTACCTACTGTAACACGCTAAGCATGCATTTAGCAAAACGCTGTAAAACAGAATAGCCATTTCCTTCAGGCACTCAGAAACTGACTCCAGAAGGTGTATTTGAGTTCTACACAGATTAAATAACTATCACAGTACCTCAAAAAAACCACAGTAAGACTATCTTCCGGTTTAAAAATGTTTATTTAAAAGAAAAGGAGATCTATAACCAGATGGTCAGGAGAAAGAAAAAAAAAAAATTCCTCAGTTCCCCCCCCAAACCATTACTCTGCAATTTACCTTTCACTTAAGTTTCAGCTTCAATGTTTTATTTTAAAGAAAAACCCTGAACTTTCATTTCCTTTTCCTATGCTGTTAGACCTGAGGAAATTTAAGTACCTTTCACAGAAGGGTTGCATGGGATCTGAGAAGAAACCGCGATAAAATTTATTCACAATATACAAGTATAAAAATATCTTGCTTAGGATTCGGTATCATAATTTAATAACTTTTTGTTGTTTCATAGGTATCTGGGAAAGGTACAGACACATGTCCTGATCCTGTTACAAGAGGTAGAATGCCAGCATTTGGTACAACATTCCAGGAGAGAGTCAAAGTGACGTTCCTGTTTCCCCTGCAAAAGCAACAAAGACTATCAGCACAAACACTCAAGTTAACTGATTTTATTAATAATTACTAATATTAAATAAATTAGGATAAAAACTGTTTTCCAAATCCAGATACAAGGGGCTTTTTAATTTTATCAAGTTACTTCATGAAGTATTACCTATTTTCCAGGTAAGACTTTTTTTTTTTTTACTGTTACCTAACTCCTTTGGAGTTGAGTGCATCACAGAACCAATTCTACACAGACAAGAATATTGAAAGCAGAAACCCAGAAGCCTAGTGCTCATATTAGCAGTGCATCTTCTAGTCTACAGAAGAAAGAGGATACCTTGTATCCCAAGGTCATCATCTAACAATCAAACTACAAAGATGCAACAGAATGACACAGTATCAGATAGAATATAGGTATCTTACCACAGCAATAAAACCACATATAAAATGCAGAGTATGCAGGTAAATCAAGACACCATGAATAATAATAATAAAAAAAGGATTTACTTACTTGAGACCATTTCCATCATCAAAGAAAAAGTACTTTGACTTCATGTCTTTTAAGAACAGCCTTGGGTTATCTCCTCTCAACATGATCTTGTCCCAAAGGACCACTTGGTTTAGAGCCTAAAAATACAATTATAATTAAGTCAGCAGGGTACCTTACAAGATCATATTCAGTCACTGGAATTTCATAGCATGATTAATCTAAAAACCCTTAAGTTGAAGTACATGTTTGCAATCCATAACTAATTTGACAAAACAAGGCTTGGTGTGTGTGGGCCACCGAAGTGTGGTACAGAATACATGGAAACAACAAAGAACGGCTCAATAAAACATGAGAAAGCCATTTAAATAAGTCACAAGCTTTCAAAGATTTACAAAGTATGATGGGTTTTCCTTTTGAATTGCAAAGGTAAGTCACTTTAAAAGCAGTATTTAGACTTCATTTCAAATAAAGGACTTAAATTGAGCTATCATGACACTGCCTAGGTATTTAACATTTTTCCAATTTTAACGGAAAAAATCTCTACTTGAATTGCAAGCATAACCCCAAGAATTTTATGAACAATTCAAAAGATGGATCCCAAATTCTTAAAAGAACAGTATAAAGTTTCAAACACTTAAGCAGTTAGGTGCTGAACAGTCTTTAGTACCTTATAGAAAAACTTAGGAAAAAATATTTCTCAATATTTGTGAGAACAAGTGATTTATGTGAAAAAAAATCCAAAAGATGAAATGAGACAATAAAGCCCCAGACCCTAATAAAGAACCCTAAAAAGTATTTTAGTACAAACACAATATCCACCAGCATGTATAAAATAACTAAGGTACTGTAAAAAACAAAAGAAAGAAAAGTAGGGAGATAGTTTTGTGCAGCAAGTTCATAAAGAAACCTGAGCCTTCACTATGTCCTTGCAATGTGACCACAGTAGTTTAAACTAGAATTCAGTGGTACCATGGCAGCATGGTGTTTTGTTAAAATAATTTTTCCATAGGCTGTTCCACACAGCTCCTATCAGATCACTGAAAAAAGCCTTCAGCTATCCAAAGTGAAATATCAATAGCAACCAATTTAAAGGATGCAGCAAAGCCAATTATTTTGAGAAGTATGACAAGATAACATAAATGTATTATGGGGCTACAGTAACTGGTACGGGCAAACACTTCTGTGAACTATGAACAAAAGACCCACCACACCTGGCCAGACCAAAGGCCACTATATCTTGTTTCTAACAGCAGTCAACTGCAGAACGTTAGGGAAAAGTAAAATGGGCAGAGCAAATAAGTGAAAAAACTCATTGACAGTCCACTCTCAGAAGTGAACAAGGCATGTGTTACTTTTCTCCTACTCCGCTGGGCACATATCAAGTTAGGTTTCATGAGGGAACTTCCCACCCTGAAGTTAAACTGTCAAGAAAATAACAATCACGAAGGCCAGTAAAAACAGTCCAAGCTAGTAGGAAATGCTCGTGCCTTAACTCTTCCCAGCAGAACTTCAGAATGTTAAAAATAGCTGCAGTACAAAATGGTTAATTGCTTCAACTTTCTTTTTGATACTTACATTGTTTTTTGTTGAATATTCTGCAGACAAATATAGAAACAATTGTTTAACATTCCAGTCAAATATACTCTGCAGATGTATGTGAGTTAAGAAAAATACCATATTGTACTTACATAACCTTGTTTTATTTTTACTAGATCTAAATAGACTATGAGAATTACAGTGGGTTCTTACCTTTCAACATACCTCATCTTATTTATATATCAGAGCACTTCCAGGAGTTCTAACACATATTTTAATCATATTAAAGCAACAGGGTTTTGGTTGGGCTTTTTTTACTATTTATGAAATCTAACAGCTATTTCCTCCAATGATTTAAGAGTTCTATATTTGACGCTGCAAGCTAGTAACCATAATCCACTGCTAGACAATCTATTACAAAACCTTAAACATAAAAGGCAAGATAGAATTCTTCAGTAAACATCTTCAAAGTGATTATTTATACTATCAAAGAACCCTGGTATCCAACTGTGGATTGAGATACAATAGCATTAAACAATATATAAACACAAAATTGGTGGAGTGTAGAGAGTTCAAAGAGCCTGTAATACCCACATTAGAGAAGTTAGTAGATGGGAAGTATTTCATATTGGAAGGGACACCAGGAATTAGCAAATTTAATTACCTACTTACCACAAAGAAAGTCAGCTTATTAGACTGGTACAAAGCTCAAATTTTTGATCAACAGTAAAGAACTGCCATTTGAGACTGTCAGTATAATAAAGCTGATACTCTAAATACTTGTCTGTTTATTCAGCAATAAAATGCACCATGTGTAACTGCTAAGAGAAAGACCTTTTAACACACAATAAAGATTAGCTTTCTATTTCCCAGTCCTCTTTTTTCATTTTATTTGCCACTATCTCAAAGAACAAATTAAACAGATTCCCCAACCAGCCTCAAAATCTGTTCTATTTTGTTCCACTCATCCCAACACTGAATCATGTTTTTAAGCTGCTAATTCAAAAGGCATGCAAGGAAGGAATTAAATAATTAACGCCTGTTGCTGCAAGAATAGCTGGAGCTATTTTACTTGAACATTTTTCATCATGTAACTCAAAACAAGAAACAAGATTCTGAAGATCTCCTTTGTAGGATTTCTGAACGCTTGCTGAAGTTAGCCACGAATTCAGTAAGCTAAAGAGTTTGTGAAAACTGTCTCCTCCCCTCTCCTTTCCCTAGTTTCTAGCTGTCGTTTTATTTAATTCTTCCTAACAACTCATTTCCATTAGTTAAGAGAGCCCATGTACCAGTATCTCTTTATAAATTTTGTCCAAAACAACTTACCAGAAAGTTGTATTTTATAGCTCTACACACCGCAAGGTTTATTTATACCAGGCATGAAAGATCAAGTCAGAGTTTTTATAAAAAAATTTAAAACTACTGCTACTATTAAAAGTCATTAAAACATGGAATCTTTATGCCTACATACTGCACGCTAATCCTTGCATAAGGATATTTGTTTTAGAGGTCCTGTCCTGCCTTGCTCTGCCTCCCCTTATATACACTGCATACAATTCAATTAATCAACTTTAGAATGTTAGTCTCTGGTTTAAATACGTATAAGCATTTCAGAGGTAAAACTCAGGCTTAAGAGTTCACTTCTCCTGCTTCCAGCTTATAAAAAAAAAAATCCCACTTACTCCTGTGCAACAGACACCTGCAAAAATCTGATTAACCTGTTTTCCAGTGTTCATATGCATTCAAGATCTGTATTTTGTTTGGTTTGCTTACACAATGTAGTAGTTGCTTATACAATGCAGTATTCTCCAAAACAGGGAAACTGAAACACAGAGGTAATCAATGTCTTGCCTAACACAGTGACAAAAAACAGCAGATGGAAAAATCCCAGGAATCTTAGCCCAGCTGCAAAGCAAGGCTTAGTGTAATCACCTGAGGTAAAGCATGCTCCCTCATATTTGGTACTGACTTCTGCAGAAAAACACAGAATTTTTTTTATATCAAGACCCTAAATCCTGATTGCCTTCTACTGTCGAAAAACCTACCCAAAACAAAACCAAACAAAACCACCCACACACAACCCTCTTTCCCCAATAAAAAACAGACTAACAGGGAAGCAGAGAAATACAAAAGAACAGTTGCAAAAAGGTAACAGCAAGGAGTAAGAGGCCAAAAAGTAATGTGATAAATTTTGTAGTACCTCATATGCTTCCCAGTGAATTTCATACTATTCAATGTTAAAGATTTGACAGTTTAACATCTAAGCAAGTAAAGGATTACACTGTCTTTCTATTTTTAAAGGAAGACAGGTACTTGTGTGCAACTATTACAGGGCCAGAACTTTGAAAGCCTCACAAGAAAATGAGTTTGAAAGGTGCATCGGAGTTTCTAGATTCAGTATGACAGTCAAAACAGTGTGTTATATAAATCCTAGAATTAATTCACACCTCAAACCACCAATACAAACTTCACTTAACAGTAATACTGTCCAGATGTTAAACTACACTTCCCATTATTAGATACAGTGCACTTCACTATAGAACCTGATTTTAAAAACAGGCCTTAAAAAAAAAAAAAAAAAAGAGATAAAACAACTTGCCCTGTGTCATCTACTGAAGACATTTCACTGCAATAGCTATATAAAATACTACTTTTCACTGCTTTAAATTTATATTTTAAGACAAATTGCTAGTTTTCCTCAAGTCCTGAGTATCTGAAGATTATAAAGGAACAAAAATAGATGTCAAGATGTTCTTATTTCAAAATGTTCGCAAACCATTTTTTCCATTAAGGATATCTGCAGTAATGTCAAATGTGACGAATCCCAGATCACTTCTTTCTCTAGGTCCAGTGAAATCTTCTACATTTTTTCTAAGACAAAACAAAACACAAGATTATCCTTTCTCATTATTTCTCTTTCATGCGTTACATAAATTATTATTCTTATTATGTATTTCCCTCATCCATTTTCTGTACTTTCTTTTGAATACTTTTGGCTAAACTATAATCAACATTACAAAGTAAAATCTGCCTTCCAGAAATTATGGAGCCCCAGTTTTGAATGCCAGGCCTTGTCAACACAGTATTTTAAGTTAGATAAATAGCCTATAGACTTCTTCCTGTTACCAGAATCTGTTTCTATCTACCTAAACTGCACTACATTTCATTTCAGTAAAATATGTGTTAGCCATCCCCAAATATATAAAGCTGATTGGAACGCCGGCAGCATAGCTGTCTGCTAGCAACCATTTTCAGTATTATTCCTCAGCTTTCCATAGAAAAAAGCCTCTAGTGCTCAATCTCATAGAAGACACTCGAATCATTCTGATAAAACAGAGTTTATGTTTGTAGCTCACACAACTTACAAGATTTCTCTCTGGAATGTATTTAAGTAGCAGTATAAAGAAAATGCTTATTTTCTTCTACATTATGGAAAATCATATCGTTTTGGAAGACTTTATTACAAATCCACATTTGAAGGAATATCTGACATTGTCACACTAAACCACATTAGTAAAAGAAACTGGAAAATAACAGACACAGCAGATATTTTCATATGAATTCACAAAGCTTATCAATTTACCAAACTTACCCTCTACAAAGAGGAATACCACAAACAGGTTGACAATCAGCTATAAACCTTAATTCCTGATGCAACAAAAATTTTATGAATTATGAACTTCTTAGTTACATTTATTCCAGTTTGAAATTTAGTCCATTAAAATATCATTTCATTAAAACTAAGCTTAGTAATCTCAAGCAAAAGAAAAGTTTACCAGCAGAAGAAACACTTTTGTGGACAGTAGTTAAGAAAAACACCAACAAAACTTCTCAGCTTAAGCCTTGCTATGAATTTCCATCCCTTTGCAAAAAGCAACATCTTTTTAAGTAGTAACCCTTATCAAGCACTTGACTTCATTTCTGAATCACTGTCAATCTGGTGGAGTAACGGGCCTCAAGCCTGGGGTATGCAGAACTTCTCAGAAGTTCAAGAAAAGCAACTAATGTATAATGCCTCTCATTAACATCAGAGCTGTGCATCATGGAAGGGACTGGCACGGCACTATAAATTTCATCCAAACTAGGCATTAATATGCTACCTCATATATGCCAAGCTCATCAGAACACTCAAAAATATGCTTTTATGCTGGTTTTCTGCTGTTCACAATCCTCAATCTGGCGTAAGTACAGGGTTTATTTTCCTGAGATATTAAACCAATCCAAAAGGCGATGGCAGTTCCCACTCGTCATTTGCATCCACCTCCCCTTTCAAACCCTGCTGCTAGCCGTCCACTCCTGCCACGTACCTTGAGTGGTCCAAAGCTCCACGAGCTGCTTTAGCTCACTAACTTGGCCAAAACCGAACTAAAACTCATTAGCTGAGTTAAAACAGCTCAGTATCCTGGGAGCCCCATTCGCCTGTGCAGCTCTGGTAAAGGACCATGTGGCCAGAAGCAGCAGCAAAGACCTCCACTTCTTGGTGGCAGTAGCAGCGGCTCAACTGCTCGTGAAACTACAGCCCTCCACATCATATGCACTTAACTTGATGTAAGTTACCTGTGACAAAGTTTCCTTTTCAAAAAAAGTAAAAAAGGTTCCCCTGGCACAAGTTTGCTTTGGCATATTGTGCCATGTGGGCAACATCCTTTTGATATGGCATTACGTATTCTACACCTGGCGCATTTCACAGGAAGATAAGCCATCCCAGTCAGTCCACTGTCACAGAGCTCGCAAAAAAGAAAATATGTTACCAGTGGAAAAATATAAGGGAACTACTAACTGAAAAAGAGGTGCTAGGGAGACGAACCGCACGTTCATTGCGCCCTCAAAGCTGTCAAAAGCAGTTCGCTCGACTCCCCTGTAAGTCACCACCCCCTTACAGAGAACGCGACTGCGGCCCGCAGGCAAGCACGCCTCAAGGCAACGGCCCTCCTCGCACCTCCGCAGGTCAACGCGCTGACCAGCCGCGAAACGCCCAAGGCGGGCGGCGCCGCCCCAGCTCCCGCCCGGCCGGGGCGTGAGGCGGCGGAGCGCCGTCGTGGGGCTCCCTCATTGGCCCAGGCGGGGAGCGAGGGAGCGGGCAGGAAGCGGAGACCTCGGCCGTGCAGCTGGCGGCGGCCCGGGGCTCCCGCGGGGGGGGGGCCCCCCCCCGCGCCGGG